CCGTAATTATGTCCCCACTGGATGCAACAAATGCCTCGTTTATAATGGGTTTTAATGTTTTTGTCTCATCGCTCCGACCGGACAAGGCATCACAGTATGGCAAGGGACATAACATTTTCATCACACTCTTGAGGAATTCGGTCAATTACAACGCACTGGATAGCTGGCCATTTAGAGCACACCTCGCTTTTCAGACCGATGAGCATTGTAAAAATCGACGCGTTTCAGAAAGGCGGGGCATAGAGGAGAAACTATAATGTACAGCATGTGGAAAATAATGTTTTTTTTTAACCTTAAACCGCATAAACACATTTCATTACACCAAATACACAAAATAATGTTCTTTTTAGCAACGTCATATGACCCCTTTAAATATAATTTATTCCTGTGAAGGCTAAGCTGAATTTTCAGCAGCCATTATTCCAGTGTTCAGTGTCACATGATCCTTCAGAAATCATTGTCGATTTGCTGCTCAAGAAAAATTTCTTATAATTATCATGAAACTGTTAAGTTAGGGGTTAAAATGCATCACAAACTCTCACCTGTGTTACTCACTCCTCCTCCAGCCCAAGGCGTCCAGGAAGGTTTGACTCCTGTGGCAAGACTCCAGATATCTGTCAGATTTATAGAGAAAATGCTGCTCCACATTCCTTTAAAACCACACACAGAGTTTGGACTTATTAATTGTGACTGATTACAGTTTACATCATTTGCTTACAGCACAGGATCATGTTCAAATAGAGATGTAGATGTCTACTGGTCATAATAAGCAACACAAATTTTTTTAGATCCTGGGTGCAACATGCCACTTTCTCCTTCTCTTTCTTACGGCCTTAAATTTTTCTTTTGTTTCATGTTTTCATTATGTGCATAAACGCACATACACTCAATCTCACCTACAAGAAAGGACAATCCAGTTTCAGGGAGTTTCTTGACCATGTGACCGAGGTAATATTCACTCCCGAAGTTCTGTGCAGGTACAAAGGCACCATATTTGGGAAATCCAACCTCATATGGAGTGAATTCACACCATTCTAAACAGGAAACAGAAATAAACATAGGATTATTGATCTGTTATAAGCTCTTTTATTCGCAACATCAAGCTACAAGCTAATTGTTTATTACATACTCCTTACTTAAGCATACAGTGAACCTATTCTAAAATGTTCTGTAACTCTTTGGATAAGAAAATTATTTGCATGTGTTTA